GGAATGAGACCTGGGTCTCCCCGTCACACTCCCTGCGCTCCGGTCCTGGGCCCTTGCTGGCTCTCAGTGACGTGGTGGGCCCGGAGAGATCCGCAGCTCATCCCTCTTGAGCCAAGGATCTGCCTGGCCACTTCTTCTTCCTGGCTGTGCACAAGGGGAGGTGGGGGGGGAGCCCGGAGAAACCATGAATGGGATGATGCCCATCCTAAGGAGGCGCTCCCCGTCACACTCCCTGCGCTCCGGTCCTGGGCCCTTGCTGGCTCTCAGTGACGTGGTGGGCCCGGAGAGATCCGCAGCTCATCCCTCTTGAGCCAAGGATCTGCCTGGCCACTTCTTCTTCCTGGCTGTGCACAAGGGGAGGTGGGGGGGGAGCCCGGAGAAACCATGAATGGGATGATGCCCATCCTAAGGAGGCGACCCACGGTGGGCCTGGCTGCCCTACTGAGCAAGCGAGCTGGGCCCGAGGAAGGGCGATGTGAAGGGCACAGGAGTGGGGCAAAGCTGTCTTACACCAGGGCAGACCTTGGGCCTACCCTGGGCCGGAGGGTGGGGCCGGGGGAGCAACCCCCGCCTGTGGCTGCAGACCCTGCGTCCTTGCAAAACCTCTCTGGAGACAGCATGGGTAAGGATTCAGCCTCCCAATGCCCATTCGTGTGCCAAGGCGAAGGCCTCACACACACCCCCGTGAGCTACGACCAGCATGCATGCAGCCCTGGATCCCGAAAGGGCTTGGCAGGCGTGTGGGCGGATTTGGCCAGCTCCTTCCCCAGGCTAGCTTTCACTCCTCCCTCCCCCCCCCCGGCTGCTCAAAGGTGGTGTGTCATGAGGTGGAGCGGGACCCACACCCAGCGCTCCTTGAGAACAAAGGCAGGATTCAAGTGCAGTCAATGAAAACCAAAAGTGGGCGGCCGGTCCTCAGGGAGGCGGACGGAGGTGCTGATGGTGTGGTTTCAGGTTTGCCCGGTGCAGGATGCATCCCAGCCCTCCTGGTATATATATATATTAGCAGCTGCAGCAGCACCTCTTATTTTTGGCAGAACGAGACCCTCTGCTTGGCACAGGCCAAAGGGAGGGGCACACGCGGGGTGGCTCCTTCTGCCTTGAGGTTGGTCTGCCTTGAGGGGGTTTCTCTTCTACTCCCGAATGGGCACCAGTTCCCTGAAGAAGCCCCTTAGATCTTGTCTGGCACTGACGCTTAGGCAGAGTGTGCCACAACCATCTTTCAGGGCTAGTGGTGGTCAGGAAGGCTCAGCTCAGTGGGGCAAAGTGGGGCGTGACGGTAGGGCAGAGGGCTGATGCTGCCATAGCTGCAAGAGCAGCAGCAGGAACCACGCTGGGCAGACGCCACTGGGTGGGCCGGGGGAAGGGAGTGCCAAAAGCACCTCATCAGAGCACCCACCCAAGGTGGGTGGGAAGGAAGGAAGGTGGGTTTACACCCCCCAGGAATGGGTTTGGCACCTCCAGCAAAAGGTCCTTGACTCAAGGAACCTACGTCATTTCTAAAGTAAGGGTGAAAAGGCAGCCAAGAGGATGATGGCTGACCTGATGAGGGGCCCCATTGCCGTGTGAGCAGGGCCCCCAACTGCCATGTCGGGGGCCAAAGCAGTGAGTGAGCAGGTGTGGGTCAGTGAGGCTCCCTCACCCCGCCTTCCAAGCCCGAAGGCTCCTGGCACTTACTCGATCTTGAGCTTCGTCTCCAGCAAGTCGCTGCCCTCCGCCTGAAGGACGCAGTCCTTCACCTCTTCCTCCAGGGGGTTGGTGAAGACCATGTCCACTTTCACTTCCTGGCCCACCTTGGCCGGGCCCAGCACCTGCCCAGAGGAGGAGAGGCGGGTTGAGAAGGCCACTCGAAACACTTCCCCTCAGCCCCGCAGGCACAGAACCGCAGAACGGCACCGGGTCCAGCCCCTGTCCGGGAGGCCCAGGGAGGAATCGAACTCCCAGCCTCTGGCTCCGCAGCCGGATATGCCAAAGCCACTCAGCTACAGTCCCAGACTGGGAGAGCGGGGATACCGACGCGGGGGTGGGAGGGAGGGAAGCAGACCCATATACGTAGGGGGCGCCCCCCCCTCCATTCTACCCAAGGGACGACTGGCTCTCGCGGTTCCTTCCCCGTCCCCAGACTCAGCGTTGTGCGCCTGCAGGACCTCCTTGGCAGGGAAGGAGAAAGGGGACGGTCAGGGCCGGGTCACCTTCACAGTGACATTGGGGTTGTCGAGGGAGACGTCTCGCTCCACCAGAGCATCGTGGCCTTCTTCGATATGGCAGACGGCCGTGGCTCGGATCATGTTGTCTGTCGTCAGGTGCTGCTGGTAATCAGCGTAGGAGATTTTAATAGGAATGGATTTCTCTGGAAGACAAGAGAATGGATGCAGTTGGTGAGCCTGGCAAAGCTTTTCACACGGGGCATCGCCCACCCGCGTCCCTGCCCTACTGGTGCCAGCCAGCAACACGAATGGGGAGGGAGGCGGCCCCACAGGAGGAGAGCCCTGAAGCTGGTGTGGCTCGGGGGGGGGAGGAGGAGGAGGAGGTGCCACGCCTGGTTTCTGCCACGGACCAGCCCAATACCTCTGGGAGGCCCTGCGAGAGGATGACAGCCCTGGTTGTGTGGAGGCAAGGAAAGGGGGAGCCGTGTGCCCTGGGAGCCTGACGGGTTTCCCTTTTCGGGGTACTCTGGAGCGAAACATTTGGTTAATCCCTGGTGGGGAGGGCCTTGCTCTCTCCAGCAAAGAGGCCTCCAGCTGGACCCCTGCTCTGCATCTCCTCCTCCGCCTCCTCCGCCTCCTCTGGAGGTTCAGCCCTTGGTTAGCCACCTTTCATGGTGTCCTGCACACAGGCTCCTCTGTGTGTTTGACCCCAGGAGCTTACGGTTCCAATTTGCCGGGGGGCGGGATGGCAAAGGGCTCACAGACAAATCAGCCTGAGAGGCTGAAAAAACAACCCTCCTTTGGAAAGGAATTCTGGAAAGGGAATTCTGTACAAAAAAAGGGGGGGAGGGTCTGCCAGTCATCCATCACCTGCCCAAAGGGTGGGCCGGAGGCACTGGATACCTGGGTAACCGCTCGAGGGAAAGACCACCCAACCCGAGGAAGGGACCCCCCAGAACCAGCCGGCTGGCCATGGAGGAGAGCAGGATGCTGGCCTGGGACCTCACCTTCTTTGGGGCCAAGGGTCACTTTCATGGAGCTCTTCCAGACCTCATGGACAGGCTTGCCGGTGTAGATGATGGTCCAGGCGGTCATGTTGGTGGACAGGTTCCTTTCTGCTGCGGCCACGTTGGTCAAGAGCAGGACCAGGTCGACATCCTTGCCCACCTGCGGGGGGCTCTGAAGCTTGAACTTCCCGGCCACGTCGGGCTTCTTGGCTGCGGCCAGCTGGGTGGAGGTGGCGTCCAGCGTGTTCAGGTTCAGCTTGCCGCGGGCCTTCTTGAACACTTCCCGTTCTTTGGCAGAACCTGAAAGAGGCAGTGCAGGGGGCAACGTGCCAGGACGGGGGAGGCCCCTGAGCAGCCCCCAAGCCCTGCTCCTCCCCATGGCCGGCTGGAGCCGCAAAGGCGAGGCGCTCTCTGGGAATGAAGGGCTGGGGCCCGAGAGGGATGGCAGGCACTGGCCTGCCTGAGGGCAGCCCTTTCCAGAGACCCCCCCTCCCCGCTCTTGGCGGTGCCCTCAAACACCACCATGGCCTCATGGTCCTGCACCCCTGCATGCCAAGCGACCGGGACTATTGGGGGGGCTGGATGGGAGGGAGGAGGGCTGCCTGGACACCCTCTCTGCTGCCTTCTGCTCTGCTTTCCTCCCTGGCAGGAAGCTGCTGCTTGGACCCCCACACAGCCCGAGGGCTTCAACAGCAGGCCTACTTTGGGAAGAGATGGGTTGAGACGTGGAAGATTCCCCCCCCCCATCACTGGAGCAAAGGAGGCAGAGAGGCCCTCCGGCTTGGTCCGTGGGTCTGTGGGAGAGAGGTCCCCAAACGCCTTCCCCAGCGCCCTCCGGTTGCCCACACTTTGGCCCTTCCCAGCGGCTGAAGAGGAGAAAGGACTGGATGCCGGCAGTGGCCGTGAGGCCCCTCATTCTGTGCTGCTGTCGGCCAGGGAAAGCCTCCCGCCTCCTGTTCCCTCTGCCGAGCCCAGTGGACGAGGCAGGGCTGCGAAGGGCGCCTGCCTGGGGCTGGGCAGGTGGAAGGGGCAGGGAAGCCGAAGTGGCTCCAGGCTGACCCAGTGGCCATCTGGCCCAGGACCCTTCCGCCCAGAGGGTGAGCCAGAGAGGGTGAGCTGGAGGTCTCTCGGGCTTGGGAAGAGGACTGCTCCCCCCTCAGCCCCCAGCCCCCAAGAAAGACGGTTTGTCCGTGTGTGTGTGTGTGTGTCCAAAAGCGGGAGGGGCAGGGCCTGCCAGGGCCTACCCTCCCCCCCCTTCCCCAGCCCCCACTGCCACATGTTTCCCCCTCCCCATCTCAGCCCAGGACCACCTCCTCAGCTCCCCCTCCCATGATCCAAACCTGTTGGCTCCCCAGGTACGCATTTGGTGGCCCTTGACTCTCAGGTCTTCTCTGTCAGGGAGCTGCTCTGCCTCTTCTTGGACCAGGGAACTTCGTCCCCAAAGCCCCCGCCCCCACCCCCACCCCTGAAGAGCCTGCTTGTCCCCTTCTCTCCCCCGTACCTTCTGGGTATTTATAGTTGCCGGTGACGTCTTGGCGGGCAAAGCTACCGACAGCCTTTGTGCTCGTGAACTGGCCGATGGTCCTGGTCTCGGCGTAGATCTTCTTCTTCTCCCCACTTCTGGTGTCGTAGGTCCAGGTCACCCGGTCAGCGTTGACTTCGGAGAAGACAAACGGGCAGTCGTAGTCCTGATCCACATCTCCCTCCTTGATGGCTATCAGGGAAGCTGGGCCGCACTGGAATATACCTGGATGGTGGAAGAGGAGAAACCAGGTCCACAACGCCAGAGGCACAAGGAGAAGCCGTTGGGCAGAAGGGTCGCCCTGGGCAGGAAGAGGCCAGAGGAAAGAGGAGGACGGGCAAGAGAAACAGCCAAGGGCAACCGGGGAGCTGAGTCAAATGCATGGTGTGCTCCAATTGTACATCACCTAACGCAGCCTTTTTCTTTAAAACCCCAGGCAATTTCCATAAGCAAGAATTGCATGTTGCAATTGAAGAATTGAAGGTGCCACAGGGGTGTCTGGGGAGAGGCACTCAATGACAACCACAGAACAGCAAAGCAAGAATGGGTGGAAACATCCGAGGTAGCCCTTATTCATGACAGCATTCACTCTCCCCATCTTTTAGTGGCGGAAGATGGCAACACGGTTATAACCCAGACTTGATACCTGTCAGTGAGCCTAGTAGCGAAACAGTGCCAGAGGTCAGCATGGAGTGGGGGGGGGGGTTTGAACTCGAGGGCCCTCAGAGGCCCCTTTCCAACGCGGCTATTCCGCGGTCAGTCTGTACCCCAATTCCAAATATGGAACACGGGCCCCAAATGCACCAACTCATCAGCATAGAACAGATAAAACACTTTGGCAGGGTAATAAAAAGGCCTCTTTGATTTCTTTACTAATTGTCTCTACTCTCACAGAATTCTGAAAATTTGGGGAAAGACATGAGAAGTTGCCAAGAACCCACAGACTCCCAAAAACATCAGCTGAGTCTCGCTGCTTTGTCCTCTTGAGACGGTCCTGGACAGAACGATCTGCAGGTCCTCCAGTGGAAGCAGTGAAACCACTCCTCGTCCCACAAGAGGCCAGTTTTTAGAGCTGGGAACGACAGTACAGCACAAATCCTACATTTATTACAAGGACCTTGTTCAGCATCAAAGTACTCTTGCACAGATTCTATAATCCAACCAAAGGTTATAATCTAACTAAAGCAATATAGACCTGTCTGCAAAGTCATAGATTTTTTCCCTATATTAGGCATCTTGGAAACGTTAGGCTACCTGGAAGGGCATTCAACCAGAAAATGGTTTTATCCCATATGCCTAGGAGTTACTTTGAATCCTAACATTGACCTATAAAAAACCACTGTCAAACACAAAGCAAAAGATCTCCACAAGGAACAATATCCTTTGAAAACTATTGAGAACCCATTGGGACACACAACCACAAACACAAAGAACTTGGCAAATACATCAGCTCAGTGTGGTGTCATTCAGCCTGTGCAAAACCGTTAGATGTAGCACTCAGTGAAATCTGTAGGATTATAACTGGATGCTTGAAACCAATCCCTGTTGTTGATAGGATCAACTATAGTACCTGGCAGGCATTGCACCCGGCAGCTAACAGGGAAAGGCTCAGACAATCAGTATCAAATGCACATCTGCTCTTTGGCTGCCATCCTGCCTGTCCTGTGAATCTTAAGAGAACATCTGAAAAAGCCAGGATTATAAAGCCAGGAAAGAACAAACTGGCCACCTCTTAAAATAGGAGAGACCTCAGGAAGGTCTAGTCCTGAACACGTTGAGAACTGGGCTAGTTGGAAGTCACTTCATAAGCTACAGAGTGGAGTTGTGGGAACCAAAGTAAGAGAGAAGGGGGGAGAGTGAGAGTTGCATTGACACAGTCCTTTGTGGATGCAGAGAATATGCTACACACACACACCCCAACATGTACCATGGACGAACACAGTTATTGGACGAAAACGGTTTGATCCCTGTGCTCATTGTACCGCGGTGCTTCTCATATGAAAACACTCTCTTGCAGTCCAGAGCGCATGTGATGCCATTCTCCGCGTTCCTGTCCCTGAGTAGACCACCTCCCAAGACAGCATGAGGATGCCTGCTCAAAACCCACAGCAGCACACACGGGCTCAACGTCTCCATCGATCTCTCCGGCCTCTGCAAGGACCCTTTCCTGGCCAGTCCTTGCCTTGAAAGGGTCCCTCAGATTCCTTCGCTCTATTTGTGGGAGGGAGGTTTTCCTACCGGCAGGAATGCTGCTGGGGCCACGGACGGCAAACGGCAGCTACCGGGCAGCGGGGAGGCGAATGGCAAGGGCTGAGAGAGGAGGTGGGGTGGGGGTGGGGGTGCAGCAACACTTTCTCCCTCCCCCCTGTTCCAGAGGACCCCCTCTGCCCACCCCCCGCTGCCGCCTGTGGCACAGCAGGACCCTTCACTGGGACCCACAGAAGTGCTGCTCTGGAGACGCACAGCACCGGCCAGGGTGCGTCCACGCACAAGAGGTCTTTGAAGACCTTGGGAGCACAGTCAGCCTCTCCCACCATGTCCTGCAGTACAGCGGCTATGCGGCCCACAGAAACATGGACGTGGATGGCTACTCTGCCACCCTCATAGTGCTCACGTGGTGCCCACTGAACCACGCTTCCTGTTTTGCCACCATCCACCCCATGTGGAGAAAACCTTCAGGGGCTCCTTGCCTTCTCTTACCAGATCTCCCCCTCAATGAGGATTTCAAGGCTCACCCGTGAGCATGGCAGCTGCACTGCTCGCCCCAAAACTCCCGGGCATTCACAGAAGCCGCACCCCCAAAGAAGATTTTATTCAGACTGGCTTCATGGATTCAGGAGGGGGTAACCCCCCTCCCTCCCTCCCTCCCTCCCTCCACATGGTACTGGGCCACCACTCTTGGCATCCCAGGCCATTGCCCATCCTAGCTGGGGCTGATGGAGGTCAGAAACCAACTGCATCTGCAGGGCTGGCTACTGTGGACCCTGGGTTTATCCCAGCAGCAGCAGCAGCAGCAGCAGCAGCAGCAGCAGAGAGCTACTTGGTCACAGCAAGAACAGACTGAGTTCCATTCCCAGCACAGCCCAGAGAGAGGAGGGTCACATCTGCACGGCAGAGCCTCTGCTCCCAAGGGCTGCCCTGGCCCCTTTTCACATGACCTTCCTTGATCCTGCGACCAAGGCTAGTCACAAGCCAACACACACACACACACACACCACCACCTACAGAAGGTCCTGTACCTGTACTTCTCTCCTGAGGAGTTGCATCCAAAACTTGCCACCCGTTGTATGTGGACCCGAGGTCGGATCGAGCAAACCAGCTTTCATTCCACACATGGAAGTTCCTACAAGGGAGAAGGGAGCGTGGCACTGAGGCTTGCCACGAGAGCAGAGCAGGCACAGTCTGTGTCCTCTTACCCTGAGGGAGCTGGCAGAGTCAGCGTTCAGGCAGGCCCAGGGTGGGTGTGTGGGGGCCCGGTTTGTGGGAAGGGGGGGATGAGGAGGCCTGACCTTGCTGGGCGAGCCTCTTGGCCCACCAGGGTCCACAGGGGCACAAAGAACCACCAAGAAGCCCGGCCTCCTGGTGCCCCCAGGGCGTATGTATTTCTCACAGGAGGACACGCCACGTGGACATGCGCGTGCAGACACCCACGCAGGCAGATACAGAGCAAGGGGAAGGAGATGATGGGGGTCGAGGAAAGAAAGACCCCCCACACCTGCCCAGCGGACACAGGTGTGGTGCCCCATTTCCCTCGCTGGCCTGCCCTCCCCTTCTGGGCAGAAGGGCAGCTGGTGTGGTCAAGGCTCAGCGGCCACCAACGTGCCACAGACGGAAACAGCCCAGAGGAGTTACCAGATGCTGTCCGACGTGATGTTCAGGGGGTTTCCAGAATCATCATAGTAGACATCGATCGTCAGGGTCTGGTCGGTGTCGTGGGCAGAGTTGAAGTTGGAGATGGTGCGAGCGGGCATCCCGAGGCATCGGAGGGCTAAGAGGAAGAGAGGCCGAGTGCCAACGGGGGAACCCGCCGGGGCCTAGGGCAGCTTGGCTGCTTGGCCAGCCATTCCCTCTGGGGCACCTCTGCTGAAGGTGGGCGCAAAGGCCGTCCTGCCAGGCTGGGCAGCAAGGGAGGGCCTGCCACCCCCATAGGCCTCGGAGGCCCAGGCCGGCTGTGCCCACTCTGCTCCCTTTTGGGGTGGCTGCCGCTGACTCACAAAGGGGCCACCTGGCCTGCCTGCCGAACGCTCAGCTGCCAAGGGTTAGGGCCCAGCAAAGGAAGGAAGCTCCGCTGCCATGACGGGGGGGGGCATCGGTTAGCCCCTCTGGCCGGCAGGGAGGACACCCTCCAGAGCCTTCCTTATGCCAAGACCCTGGAGGCTGAGATAAAGCCCAGGCCAGAAGAAGCCACGCGGCCTCTGCCCGTCAGAGCCAAGCAGCTGCCCTCTGAGCCCCAGGACAGCCAAGGAGCCACCAGCCAACCTGCGCATCCCTACTGCTGTCCAGGTGGCCTCAAAAGCCACTGAGAGGCCTTGGAGAAATGCCAAGGGCTGTATTTCCCCCTCCCCAACCCTGACATAGACCCTCTGCCCAAAGGAATCTCAGTTCTGCACCCAGGCTGCAAGGCGGACCGAAATGGATCCCTTCGGCCCCCCCATGAAGCCATACCTGTGTTCAACACGCCTGCAAAGACCCAGCACTGTCCGTACCGGACCGGTTTAAATCCGGAGGCCTTCCATTTCTGCAGGATGTCAGCACTTCCTGACCAGCTGCCTGGGCTCGCTCCCCCCGAGTAATTCCCGCTCCAATTTCCTTGCAACACCCCATTGTCATCATTGCTGTTAACCTGGGAAAAAGCCAAGTTATCAGGCACACACGGAGGACCTTTCCAGATGCACATTTCATTGTTATTACAAGATGGCTGGACTGCTCAGTGAGTTAGGTATCTGACTGTAGAGCCAGAAGCTGGGGGCTCAGCTCCCCCTCCCCCCCGCCGTGCCTCCTGGGAGAAGAGCCAGCCTGGGTGGCCTTGGGCAAGATGTACAGTCCCAGAAGGGCAGGGTAAACCACTTCTGGGTATTTTCTACCTAGAATACCATGAAAATGGTAAACATAAGTCAGAACTTATGTTAGCACATGGTGAAGATAAAGAGACAGCAAGCTTTTGCCATTTGTTCATGAACAAACCCAGGCACTGTCTCATTAGCAAAACAGATCTCTCTGGAAGTGCTAGATTTTACAGGACACAAGCCTACCTCCGCTAAATTCAGTTTCTCTAGGGCTGGGCTGCTGAATGTCAAAATGCACCCAAAATTTGTCCCAGCTGGTCATGGAAAGGAGAGATTTCCAACCTAGGAGAGGTTTTTGGGATTCATTTGAGGATCTGCTTCTGGCCTCATGAATGGACCTTCACCCCAGCATGAAATCTGAGAGGCAGACCTTGCCTGCCTGTAGCTTGAACACTCCGTTCGGTGGTGGGAAGGGTCTGCAGGTAGGTGGGGGTTAGTTCTCTGAAATGATGGCCTTCTGGAGGCTCACAGTGAGGGCCCAGCCTGGCTCTGCAGGACTCAGTTCAGAGAGACCCAGGCTTGGCAAGAGAGGGACGGCACAACCCAGCGAAGGGCCTCGCTGGGTTCATTCCTTCTGGATGAGTGGAATTCAATGTGGCCTGGATCCAATCCTGGCGATCGCTGGGAAATGTGAGCCGCTCTAAAGAATGCTTTCCCACGGGTTTCCAGCTGGTTGGGTTCCCCAGCTGCTTCCTCGCTGCTTCCTCCGGGGCCCATTACGTTGCCTCCTGAGTGGTGCCCGTCCTGGGGAAGGAGGGCACTCGGGGGCCAAGGGCATGCATCCCCAACCGCCCTGCAGCAGCTGTCCTGGCGGGTGGCTTTGGTCTTTTCCACTTCCCTTCCCAGGCCAGGATGGCACCTGCCACTGCAGGAGCTGTTGCGGTTGTTGCTTGAGCTAAGCCTCCCTCCCTCCCTCCCTCGGGGGGAGGACGAAAGTGGACTAAGGTGAGCCTTTCCTTACCATCGCACTGAGCACCCGTCCAACATATTTGGGGTCATTTCGGCGGCGCAAGTCAGTAGCTGGGTCTTTGCGGTGGTTTAAGCTCCGGTCCAGCATGGCGAGACAGGCATCCAGAATACCTTTTTGAAACTACAGGCAGAGGGGCGTATGAGGCAAGCGGCGGCAGAGAGAAGCTTCTTGAGATACCTCCCTGTTGAGCCTGGCGGGACGGAGGCCCCTCTCTCCCAAGGGGTTCCACGTGCAGCCCCTTCCTGGGGGTGCTCTTTCCTCTTGGGGCACCTTCTCGGCAGGACCTGTTCATGCTCTGGCCCCCCTAGCGTTTCTTCAGACCGCCTTCCCTCCCTCCCTCCCTCCCTCCAGGGCCTGCCACCCACTCTTCTGCTTTTCCTTTTCCAGAAGAGCCACAGGAACACTGCTTCCTTGGCTGGCACTTGCTTACTGTATGCATGTCCCCAAAGTTATGGGCAGGGGATGGGTGGCGGGAATGGAGGGGAGAGAGGTTTAAGCCTCTCGTCTGCATAGTCCCCTCAGAGAAAGGAAGGCACCAAAACCCCACTCGCAGGCAGGCTTTTCACTGCCTGAAAAGAAGGCTTGCCTCAGCTGTGCAGAATGGGGGCTCCCCCTCTTCCCCCCCCCCCGCAGATCCTCTTTGTCCTGGAGTCATTCAAGTTCACAAAAAATACTCGAGGAATAGTATAAAGCACACAGTTCAGGCCCAGCTGTCATTTCCCCTTCTTCCATAACATATTTATTATGATGCCTTTACTTAAAAACAGCCTCCACCTTTTTTAACCCTTTCTTTCTCACTGGGTCACCCAGTGCAATTTGTGATAAAATAAATGCAATACATTAAAGTTGTTGCAATCAATGAAACACATGCACATGCAGCCGATCCAAGGCCAGGTGGCGCAACAGGCACCTATGGTGGGGAGGGTGCCAAGGAGCCCCAAAGAGTACAGGAACCCTGGGTGGGGGCTCAGGCTGCTCTCTTGGGGGGGGCGGCGGCTCAAGAGGAGAGTATCGCCCAGCCCAGCCCAGCCCAGCCCTCTCCTCCGGAGTCTCCACAGCGAGCCCTTACCTGCCCGTAGTCCCAGCCGCGGGGGCTGATGCTGTTGGCGCTGCCCACGAAGACCACGCCGGACTCGGAGAGGACATACTCCTGGCGCTCGGCCTCTTTAGGGAGGAACACCTCGTCCGCTGCAGGCCGAAGGATAGACAGGTTGCTGCCGAGCTGGACCTCTGGATGGTGGGGGGTGGGGGTGGGTTCTGAGCCCCCCTCCCCTTCCTGGCCACTCCCTGGCCTCGTTTGCCCAGACGCCCTGCCAAGGCCCTTCGGGGGGGGGGGAGGTTTGCATGTCAGGGTTTTTCCAGTGGAGAGATTCCCACCCACACCCAGGAAGGGAAGTGATTTGGGACCAAATTGGGGCGGGGGGGGAGGGAGGAGAAGAGTGAGACCTAAATGGGGATGAGTCTCCTCAGACCGACTGACCGACTGACCCCAGGGCTGTGGGGGGTGGGGGTGGAGGGGGAAGACTTCTTCATCACCTGAGAGCCCTCCTTTCCCCAGTTCCATAAACTGGGGTGCTGGCCGTCGGACCCAAGGTCTGCACTGGGATTTGGAGAAAGAGCTCTTGTTCCCCCTTCAAGGTGGCTGCAATTTGCTCACAATAAAGCCTTTCATTGCCTTTTTCTTTTGGGAAGCAAAGCCCGCCTGTACACACAGCCACACAACCGCACACTCACACCCAAACAGCTGCAGCTGAAGCACAGGAGGACCAGCTGACTGTTAAGAAACATGCCAGCAGCCAACAAGGATGCATCATATTCTTGGATAAATTTGCATACAGGTTGGTGCAAAAATGAGCACTGTTATTGTTGTTGTTGTTGTTGTCTAAAACATTTCCCCTCTGAGGAGATGCTCTCCTGTTGGAAATCACTTCCAGCCCAGTCGGGCTGCATTGGACGGGGGGGGGGCAGGCAGGGCTCAGAGGAGGCGTGCATCGGAGGGAGCTGCTCGCTGTAGACTCGGCCACGTTGCGGAGCAACGGCCTTCCTGACCCCCCCTTGCCCCCCCCATAGTTCCTAGATGCTCCCATAAGAGAGAGGGAAGTGCCATCTCGCAATGGCTGCTGTTGGCCAGGGAACTGGCGGGGCTGGCTCCCGACGGAGGTCCGCGTGGCCCCACAGCAAACCTCAGCCCCATACAGTACAGGCGGGACTTTCTCACCTGCTCTTGGGCCAGGGATGCTGGGGCTCCCCCTCCCCTTCCAGAGCCCTCCCACCTCTCCAGCCTCTCCTCCTCGCTCCCCACGCCCCAGCCCCGCAGCCCGGCGGGGGGGGGGTATCAGGAGTCTCCCGGCAGGCCTGGAAGGGCCAACCGCGCAGCCTGGGCTGCCGCTCTCTCGGAGGGGCTCCTGGTCGCGGGGGGGGGGACACGCCGCCGCCGCCGTGTACCTGACAGCCACGGGTTGAACAGCAAGACAAAAGTGCCGAGGATGGAGGAAGCGGAGCCGGCCTTGAGGCCCAGCCGGTAGCGCCCGATGACCGCGTTGGCCGGGCTGGAGATGGAGACGCTCAAGGAACCGGAGGACGCAGAGGGGGCTTGAACTGCCCCCCAGGAGCCGTCACTGGATGCGCTGGAGATGCCGAACGAGACTCTGGTCTTTGCCTGCAGCGCTGGAGTCGACCCTGGAAAGGAAGCGCGGGCAGCGAGCGTCGGGCCAAGGCGAGGAGCGGATTTCGAGGCGCGCCGCGGCGGTGTGATCAGCGGCCGGCGCCCCGTCGAGAGCGGCCCGCCTCGGCCTCCTTAGGCGGAGACCCCGTCCGTGGAGGTGTCCCGTGCCGCTTAGAGGCGGGAAGGAGCGGGAAGCCCCCCACCCACCCCCGGAGAGGGGCCCGGAGGCGGCTTCCCTTCAGGAATGGAGGGAGAGGGGGGCTCTACCTGTTTCTACGGTGAAGGTGAGGCTGTTCGAAGCCGGAGCAGCTCCACCGAAGTCCAAAGAGATCACGAAGGGGTGGCCTCGGCGCACCGCCAGCTCCGTGCCCTGGTAGGAATCCGTGTGGTGGCCACGGCCATTTTCCTTCAGTTTCCAATCGATCTTTGGCACAGCTGCAAAAGAGTGAGCGGAGGAACAGAGGCGCCGAGACGGCGGCCGGCCAGCCGCTGCCCCTACACGAAGACCCAGAAGGGGAGGGTTTGCTCAACCAGGGCGGGCTCCCTAACAGGGCTTTCAAGGTACAGTAAGTGATTTATTTAAGGAGTGGCTTGACAAGCTCCACTCCCTCAGTGAGTTTCCAGAGCCAGGTGGGGATCCGAACCCTGCTCTCTAGAGTCCTAATCCATCACTCTGCCTACCACACCGTGCTGGGAATCGAACAAGCATCTGATCGACCAACGCCCAATTACCAGGCCGAGCAGAACCCCGTCCTGAGCCTCCGATCCCTGCGCTGGGAGACCGGGGCTCGGCAACCGCTTGCGGAGGTCACAGGCGGGTGGGGCTCCTCCAAAGCAGGGCTCGGCGATCAGCTGGAGGGCAGGGAAGGAGCCGCCCCCTGCTTACCCCCACCCC